AGTATTTGCATTCAACCCACACACATCCTCTTGTATACTTTAAATTATTTCTAGATAAATTATAATACCTAATATAATGTAAATTCTATGTAAATAGTTGTTATCTTTAGAACAACTTTGAATAATGACAAGAAAAAAAGTCTATACATGTTCAGTAAAGATGCAATTTTAAAAATTATTTTCAATCCCCAGTTGGTTGAATCTAAGGATGAAGAATGTGCAGACATGGAGAGCTGAGTGTGAATGATTTACATATCTACATCATGTATATCGAGAACCTACTATGTACAAGACTCCAGTGTCAGCTCTGTGGCATACAGGGGTAAACAGACAAGAGCCCTGCTCTCACGGGAGGGCAGATGTTTAACAAATCATGGAGGATAATTAAACGGACAAAACAGTGTCCAGTGCAGTGAATCCAGGCCTCAGGGTCCATGGGAGCCCTGCAGCCTTTGGGGAGGCCTCCAGGCAGACAGGCTTCTACAGCTGGCTAGGAGTCAATCACACAAAAGGTGGGGGAGAAGGGAGGGAGGAAAGAAAAAGAGAATCAGAGAATACTCTGGGCAAAGGCAACAGCATGGGCACAGGCCTTGGGAAGGTAAATGTCAGGGTAATTTGAGAAAGTGAAGGCAGTCCAGGATGACCGAAGCATGGAGCACTAAGGGAGAGAAGCATGAGATGAGACCAGAGAGGCAGGGAAGGCTGGGTGGGATGGTTTGAGGCCAAAGAAAAGATTTGCTGTTTTATGAAAATGGGAAATGAGAGGCTATCGAACTTGAGAGTGATGTGATTCTATTTTCATGTTAGAAAGATCACTCTGACTATGCTGAGATGGGTGGACAGGTCCACACAGAGTGTGAAGAGACCACACTGCAATGGCCCAGGCAAGAGCTAATGGTGGAGAAAGCAGACACATCTGAGAACCTTCTGTAAAAATAAGTCACTCAGAATATTTGCTATATCAATGACTCCAGACAAGCAGGACTTGGCTAAAAATGTGTCACCCAACTGAGGTCTATTAGAACTCTGAGGAGCTGGGACTGGAAGAGAAGACAGGAAAGGAAAGGAAACACGGCTTTCATGAGGAAATAGGCATGTGCAAGGGGAGGCTAGGAATGAACTGGCCATCTGAAGGTGGAGGTAAGAAAAGCACATCACTCTACTGACGTGGATGGAGAGCATGGCGGCCTGGAGGCACTGGGAGTACAGAATGATGCCCACCTTGATGTAAAAGTATTTTATATGTTATTTTTAAGTGATGAGCAAGGGTAGAGTATGTAGAGTTATAGAAATACAGACAACAGGATGAGGAAAGAGGAGAAAAGGAAAATGGACTGAACAGAAGAAAAAAGTATTGGATGGTTCAGTTGAAATAAAAGATACTTCACAGATTCATCAAAAGTAAACTACAAGTCAAAATACTCAAACTAGAGAACTGAACAAAACAGATTTACTTTTAGAAATCACTCTATTTTCATTTTTGCAAAATCATACCAATTGATTATTTTGACATAGAATGTTAGATTTGTATATATATTTATATATATGATGACTTACAAGCTTTACATCAGTGGGGATTCCTGAATTTTTGTCATTAGCTCAGAATCAATGACCAACCCAAACACTCAAGCTACTAGTGAAACCCTAACTGTAGAGCTGTACAGGGACTCACGCAATCAATAGAGTTCCCAGAATCCAACACTCTGGTGCTAAGCTCAGCTCGTCTGCACAAATCAATAAGCTAAAAAAGAGTTTCTGGCTTCCAGGATCACCAAGAAAATGTCCTCTTTCTAAGGAATGAATGTTCCTTGAAACAGCACTAAGCAACACAAAAACAAAACTCTTTTATCCATCCCAACCAAAATCACTTCTTCCACATTCCAAAATCCAATTTGAGGCTGAGACATCCTGTGTGTTTTTCAATTAAAAGAGTCTTGTGTTTTAAAAATTTGCAAGTCATTTGGGACAATTCATTTGTCCTTGTGTTTCACATATTACACTGTTCAAATATTATGATGATTCCTGAGGTGCTACCCAGGATCTACCTCTAGTGTTTAGATATGAGACTGGACGGACATTCTGCTCGCCATTCCTTTGTCAGCCTCCAGTACTCTATGGAACTCAGGCCAGACATCAGCTCAAAATGCAGCATGCTTATTCTCAGTCTTGGCCCACTCCCAGGTCTGGCACCTGGTACAGTACTACTGTACTGTACATTTTATGAATGATTAAAATGATTACTAAATAGAAAGATTATATAAAAGTGTTTTGAGCTGAGTTTAGGAGAGTCCTGACCTCTGAAATCTACCATCTAAGAAAACCAAAACAATCTTTTTTATTTTTAAATACCTAAACCTGAGCTATATTCTACCACCCCTTTTTATTTTTTGAGTTAGAATCTGCTGAGGCTGGCCTCGAACTTGCTACCTTCCTGCCTTAGCATCCCAAGTTGCTGGGATTACAGGTGTGTACCACTATGCCCAATGCCAAACAGTATTGTAAATCCCTATGAAGCTTTGTTCAGGGCCAGAAGGACTTCAAGGAACCAAAGCTAGTGTCACATTTGGGTTGTAGCCTCTTGAGTACAATTATTCCTTATGCTGTCCATGGACCACATGCAGCCAAACTAATCTGGCATGGCCTATTTGAGGCTTATAACAAATAGTTTTTTTTCTTAACCACTTAATTAAAACAACCATTTTCAGTAAGAAAGTTAAAACTTTTACTGTGAATATGAGAACACTGAGCTCACTTTCTACCTGAGATAAAATGTAGTATTTTAACAACGTTATTCTGGCCAATAATGAAGGTCAGTGTGCCCTGCTCCCATTACATTATTCCACAGAAGAGTCCCTTTTGTAAATCTTGCAAGTTAGATGTACAAGAACCATTTCAAGAAAAGTAAAACTGCAGTTCTAGAAAGGATCCATACACTGTTGATGAATTTGAAACATATTTTAATTTTCTGTTCCTGCTTTTAGAAGATCAAGATGTATCTGAATTATCATGTATCTGCTCTTTGAGTATAGCTTAATTTTGACCCCGACTTAAGCCAACAGTGAAATATTGTGGGATTCTGGAGCTAAGCCTATGAATCCTAGATTATCTTAAAATATTTTACCACTGGATAGTGTCCGAGTTCATCCGGCTCAATAAAAATATGTTCTTTAAACACATTCATAAAATGAAAACAATTAAGGAGTACTATTAGGAATGCCGACCCATAATGCAGATGTGTCTACTGCTTGAAATAAAGTACCAATATTTTTATGAATGATTAAAATTAATTAATGATTGACAACAAGCTCAAAAGACAGTTCTTTTCTAAAAAATCAGTTTAAAAATCCTTTAAGGAGACTTCTTTAATTTTATTCTAAAATAACCCTAATATTATAACTCACAGGCTAAACATCATCCTTATTTCAATAAAAATCCATATGCTTCATAGATACATAGGTTTGTGATCATGTGCTCAAATACTACAAATAAACATGCACACTTCTAGTCCACAGTAAATTCCTTATTTGCTGCTAGGAAATACAATGTGGCCAAGAAAGAAAAGTAAGGGAAATAAATAATTGTACATTTTCCTGGACCTATCCAGATTTTGAAATACTACGAAAAACAATAAATATCTAAGGGGGAAATCCACAATTTAGCAGAAGGAAAGCTAATCCAAACTCTTCATTTTGGGTTAGTCATTAAATATTAGTCAAAGCTCAAAAGACATTATGCTTTAAAAAAGATAAATTTTAAATGTCTTATAAAAGAGTCAGTATGTTTATAAGACTCATTGCCCTATGAAAAACTACAGGTTGAAAAACTGTAAACTTTCTCCACAATAATAAATAATTTAAGAATTTGTAAATAATGAACTCATAATAGTTCTCAGGGCAGGGAAGGGAATTTCAGAGCCATTCCTATCTGCTGAGGCCAGCAACACAATAGCAGTTTCCTCAAAGAAAACAGACCCTTTTCAAAGAGGAATACAAAAGCTAGAACTCATTTTTTGTCTCCAGAATGGCATTTACCTCATCTGTTCAGTCATTCACTTATACCTACAGCAAGGGAGATAATGCTGGCTAATAGTCAAGATCTACCCTGGGAACTGAGAATAGAGCAACAAGAGACAAGGAAAACAAATTGGTGTATTCCACAAATGATCCTTTTTTCATTTTAGACACATACTTTTACAGCAAAATGAAAGACCTACCATATGCATATCCGTAACTTAGTGCCTTCATGTGTCTTCTTTTGTCTACTATGAAATAAGCTACAGACTTGGGGTGTAGCTCAGTGGTAGAGCACTTGCCTGGTGCGCCTGAAGCCCTGGGTTTGAACTTTGGCACCACACAGGCATTTACACACACACACACACAAAAAAAAGAAAAATCTTAAGCTGTCATTTAAAGTAATGAAAGCCATAGGAGGTAGAATCTGCAGATATAAGTATCAGACAGGAAAATCTGTCCTTGAATCTCCTAGGTTTTAATGACTGTGATTAAATATCAAATTTATTATTAAATAAAACTTTATTTTTACCCTGTTCTAAACATCAATAATGAGCAAATACAAAGCTTTACTCCATTCAGAGAGACAGATAGGATGTCACACCTGAAACAAGGGAAGAGATCAGCCATATAGTTTTCCAAAAATCACATGTGTTTGATTTATACCAAGTTTTGCATATGCTGAATCTCAGAGGTATAAAAGAAGTGGCTTCAATACAAAAGTCAAATAATTACATACTTTTATAAAGAACCTGAAGCAAGTAGTCTTAAGTTTTGGGAAAACAAGACATGTGCCCTTAGGCAGGTCATTTCATTCTCTATTTTCTTATCGGTCAAAAGTAGGGATAATGAATTCCTGCTCTGCTCACATCACAGAACTGCTATAAAATAAAAATACTAAATGCATGAGATATCATGAAAAGTCCCCAACCAGGGAGAACTCCATCTATGGCAGATTTTTTTTAACCTTTTAGTTCATGTTACTTTATTTTGTTTGTTTGTTTTTCAAAAGGCTGTGATAAAATAGGCACATGCTCTGGAAGGGGGCTCTTCATAATGTGTTTGGGAAGTGAAATCTACTTTTGAGGTGTGCCGGTTTGTCCAGAATTTAGATTCACAGTAGAAAGCTGAAAGAAATGAAGACTAGTGGTTCTAAGAAACCCCAGAAATAGTGTCTATCTGTCTCTCCCTAAGAAAGGACTCAATGGCTGGGGCTTTCCATTCCAACCCTTCTCCTTCAGTGATCACAATATTGACTCTGAATTTTCTGAGACCTATATTATAATTTTGACAAGCTCTCAAACACTCCAGTGTTACCTACAGTTCTACTTTCTCTATCATGTGTTTTTATGGAAACACAACAAATTTGTTCTGTCCTAACCCTATTTAAACACATTCCAAGTGGCTTAACATTCTATGTAGTCAGAAAGAACTGGACTCCAGTTCTTGAGAGTCCAATGCTCTTTAGAAGAAGACCTTCTGTGGACTTCCATGATGAAACAGAAATATTGGAGGTACTAGTCTCTGGGCTAGATGGACAAAAGAGAACCTCAAGGCTCCAAGGGACAGTTTCAGTCCACAACCAACATGGCAGAGCTGAAAGTGCTCACTTGCTTTAATATCTGCTGTATAATTAATGAATTCTGGAAAGATGTGTCATTTTAATGATGCTGTTATTTATAAGGCATATCTATGGGAATAATGTAAACATTATAAACCAAGTAAATTTCTGGGACCAATTAATTCTTACTCATACCTATTCTCAAGTTAAAATAATTCTTACAATAATATGTCACACTGGCAATAAAAATAGCAACATGTACAGAGTTGAACCATGAAGATATGCTTCATTTTAAAAATTAAAGTAGAAATATATCATCTTTTAAGAATTTTTATAGAAACCTGTTTTTAAAACACCAGTCTAAAGATATAAAGTCAAGGTTTTGAAAGTTTACCTAATTGACCTGACAGCTTCTAGCTCCTCCACACTTAGGAAGGAAGTTGTCTTCAGGAACACCATGTCAAATGTGCAATGGTCTAAAAGTGTGGCTGCCTTCTGCACATCACTAATGGTGATGGTGACTTCTGCTGTATTTGCAAAAAGCTTCTGTAGAGCATCAGCCAGGTGATAAACAGTGTCATCTCCAACCAACAAGAGGTCTATTTTTGCCTGAAGGAGAAGGAAGAAAGAAAAAGCACTACATAATTAATATCTGGACATAGAAAAAACATTGTGCATGAGAGGATAGAATAAATAAAGGTGACAAATAACAATGATTATTGCCGCTACAGCTGTACTGGATGGTGAGCTGTAAGTACTTCAAAGGTAGGAATGTCCTCAGTACCTAGGATTCAATGGATTGGAAGGGCATACTATTTTTTTAAAGTTTTTCCTACCCATATTATTCTACTGTGTTTTCCTGCAAATTTCTATCTTGTCCTATTAACAACAGACAAGAATCTTATGACCCAAATTCTCAATAGTCCATCCCACTGTAAAATCTGTTTACTGCTTAGAAAACCAAACTGGTGCTCTCCCACACAATTTATTTTGGTGAAACACACATTCCAGAAAACAGCAAAAGATCAAAATTCCCGAGAAACACTCAAATAAAGTCATTTGAGGGGAATATATATGCTATTTAAATCTGAATATCAGGAACCAAAAAGTTTCTTCATTTTCATGTGGGAGTATTTTCAAATACAATTAGAAAAAAACAGAATTCCCATCCTCACTTTTAATTTTGCAATCTTTTATTCCCTATAGCTAATGAACATAGCCCATGGAAAAGGCCCAAGGTTGGAAATGCTTGAATAAATGAAAGTAGTCAAAAGACAATTGGAAATGCCAAACCATGGACAGATCTATGTGAGAAAACAGATTGGGGAGTTGAGCGTTGAAGCCAAAAGTAGTAGGTGGAGGAGTTGGAAATACTTGTACAAAGAGAAAAGCAGCCTGTCAAAGATGCACCTCTTCAGGGCAGGATGCTGGTATAGTGGCCTCCCTGGGCTCTCCCCAGCTTCATCTTGGTTTCCCAAGGATTTCAGGAAAGAACTGGGAGGTGTAAGAAACCAGGCAAGAAAGTGAAGTAAGCAAAGATTCTGCACTTTTACCTGCTTATCTTCTCATTTTCGTCCTTATTATTTTCTAAAGTAAATCTTCCTTTATCATCTCATATCTTCATTCAATTCCTTCCCTTGGAGCAACCACTATTAATAATTTGCTGTCAATCCTTCCACACAATTTTTATGTCAGATGTATCAGTGTAATACACCCACATACAGCTTTCCCTTAAATAAATGGGATATTACGTTTTTTAAAAGTAAGTTGTTTTTCTCATGTAATGATATAGTTCAACAATTCCTCAAAATTTTTGGTTCAACGAGAACATTCTCATTTTCCAGACGGTTACACGTGTATTTTCTTTAAAAAAAAAAAAAAGTTTTCTATCATTTGTTGGGATCTGGGGTGGATATGCTCAACTTCATCCGGTCTTCCTCATGTCCAGTGATAATAACTCATTAAGCCATTCTCCAAATGTTGAACTTCAATGTTGTTAAAATGCTGTGATAATATCTTTATAAGCATTCCTTTGTGTAAATGCATAAATCCTAGCATCAAAGCTATACAGAAAGGTTTTCCATTTTCCATCTTAAATATAGCCAAATTGCTTCCTAGAAGCAAAAGTCTGTATCCCCACCAAGAGTATAGATGAGTTCCAATTCCCTGAATTCTTAATAAGACTGGTTCTTCTTAAGCTTTTTAATTTTTTTGCATTTAATTTTCCTTTTCATTGGTATTTTTCTGATCAGTGTTTAATATCCTTACATTTTAATGGCAATTTACATTTCTACTTATTCCATATTCTATTCATCATGCATGCCCATTTTATTATGCATGCCTTTGTGCACCTTCCTATTTATGGTCTTTTTCTTATTGCTTTGTTGGATTTTATGTATTGTGAATATCACTCAACTATTTTGAGTCTGTGGATTCATCTTTAAATTTAAGGTATCTTGTCAATGGTGTTTTGTATGTAGTCACATGTCACAAATCTGTTTTCTTTGGGACTTTGGTGAATTTTGTCTTGCTTTCAAACCCATCTGTTTATATTAGAATATGGTTTGATATGTTAAATGCTTTTATTTTTTTCACTTAGCTTTTTGTTTTCTTTGAAATTTACTTGGTGATTAACATGAGGTAGTATTCGATTTCATCTTTCTTAAAAGGCAGAGCTAAGTGCCCTGATAGCATTCTCGAAAAAGACAAACTTTCCTCAGTGCTTTTAAATGCCACCTTTGTAAGTGATTTTGTTATGTTTTTCTGAAACTCATTTTGATTAATCTATTTGTATATTCCTGGTTGATAGCATACTGTTTACTAGCTACTTATAAAGTGTTTTTCTATTTGATAGAGTACATTGACAGTTTCCTTCTTGTTATTTTAAAATTTTGTTTGCAGTTATTTCCCACAACTTTTTTTCCAATGGAATTTTATCATCTTCTTGTCAAGGAACCCTGCTGAAGTTTTGATAATGCTTGCATTTATTTTAAATGTTAGGGTATATCATCACTGTATTAAATCTCCCTATTTAGAAGATGTGACTTTCAAGAGAATTTGGGTCTTTTGTGTTCTTCATTTTTATAGTTACTTTCATATAGATTTTGCATGTATCCTTGAATATTTATCTTTAGATATTTTAACATTTAGAGATCACTGTGAAGGGAATATCTTTTCTCATTTACTGAATTTTCTCATTGATATAGCTGTCATATAGAAGTGCTGTTGATTTCTGTATAAGGAAGGTGCTTCATATATTTTATGATATAACATATTTTAGTTGGTTTTTCTCAGTTTCCTTGATAGATAATCATAAAATCTTCAAAAATGACATTTTTGTCTGTTTCCAGAATTTATGCCTTTTACTTGTTGATTTTAAAGAACTGGCTAGTGCAGGGGTTTTAGAGCTAAGTAAAATGTATTTAATACATTGAATATGTATACATATATTTTACTCGTAAGTATACATCCACATAAAATGTAAGCATAGTATATACTTTAATGCTAACAAATTGTCAAAACTGCAAAAATAAATAAATAAATAAAGTGTTGGCTAGAATATCCAAAACAGAGGTGAGCAGTGAAGTGAAAATGAGCATTCTTGCTTTGTTCCTGGCTTTAGTAGAAATATTTTGAAATTCTCTTACCACTAAATATGATATTTTCTGAAGATTTCTAGTCAATATCCTTTATCAAAAATTAAAAGTTTATTTCTATTTGAAGGTAAAAATTTTAAGTCATAAATGGGTGTAGAAATATACCAAATGCTTTTTCAATATGAACTTGATCATACTGCTTTTTATTTTTCCTTTAATCGGGTAGCTAGACAATCATAATAGTACATTTCCTAATGCCAAGCCATCATTGCAAGTAATAAACAAATTCATAACAGATTCAATTCATTGTTCAATTTTTGTATCTATGTTCACAAGTGAAACTGGAAACATTTTTTTACTTTATTGTGATGTGTCTTATCATGGTTTGGGTACAAGGATTGCATGGCAACCTTGAAGAAGAAAAAAAAGCATTGATATTATTCTATCGTCTCAAATATTTCAGAAAACAGAAATTATAGGTTTACTGAGATTTATTGAAAACATGTTTATAAAAGTGCATTTAGACTACCTTTTACAGATTTTGATTGATTACAGTTAAAGTTTTCCAAACTTCAATTAGGTGAATTTTGTTCATGCATATTTTGAAAAATCCATTTCATCTATATTTTAAAATGTATTAACTTTTAAAAATATGTACTATGTATTACTGGGTTCTTCTTAATTTCTAACTCAAAATTAATGTTTTTTTTTCCTTTTTTCTTTGTTTTTCCTCTGCTGATGCTTTATTACAGACTATAAAACTCTGTGGTCCAATACAGAAGACACAAACAATTTACACTCATGTTCATAAAACTTATTCTGCATTCAGCCCAGTTATGTTAGCCTGTTTCAAATGGTCAATATCTATGCATAAGTGGCTACCATATCAGGCAGCACAGTTACAGAATATTTTTATCATTGCCAAAGAAAGTTCTGTTGGACAGCACAGTAGAGAAGATAAGTTTTCCTTCAAGTGACACCTTGTTGTATCCCATGGATTTTGACAGAATCAGCATTCATGTTCATTCACAAGTAAAAAATTTTAAACTTTCAGTTAATATTTCTATTTTAACCTGAGTTCAACTCCTATATAAAGCTATTTTTAATTTTAAAGGGTAGTATGCTTTAGTTCTTGATGTTTTGCCAATCCACCAGGTGTTCATTTCTTATTTTGATATACCATCAAAAGTGAATGTGCCCTGCATGTTGTGTATTTTTTTTTAGAATTTAACATTCTCTTTATATCCTACAGTCAATTTTTGTAATGTTCTATGCATATTTGAAAACAATGTCTATATTCTAGTAAACAAGTTCTATATATCTTTTAGAACAAACTCGTTAATTGTTTTCTTTTGTCAGGCCCAGTTACTCTCTCAGTTTATAAGGAGATATGTTAAACTCTCCCTCTCTAATTATGGTTTACAATGTCTTTTTCAATGTCTCTATAAGTTCTATATGTAACTAGGGGTCATGTACATAAAGGAGCCATGTTCATGACAGTTACACAAATTTATATGGAAATATAACATTTATACTGTATAATGATCTAGATTTATGTATGTTAAACACCATATATATATACACATATATATTATAAAGAAAGCTAAATACGAAGTATAACTGTCACTTTTAATACTTTATCTGAATTTTTACTTGTTTCTATAACTGTTTTTCATAGTCCCTTATTTTGAAACATTCTGTATCTTTGATTTTGTGTGACTTTTTATAAATAGCATAAAGTTGAATATTTAGTATTTTTATCAATCTGAGCTTTCAATTTTTCATGTACAACTAAAAGTAACTTATTATATTTATGACATTTACTATTTCCAATAATGTAATATGATTAATCAGCTAACATTAATTAATTATGAAACAGTTACAACCTAATGTGAAATGGTCTAATTCCTTTCATTTGTCATTCTTACTTCCTATAGTTCTGTCTTTCTCCCACGTCTTTGGTTAAGCTGATCAATTTTTCCTTTTTCTACCCTGCTGTACCTATAGTGCTTT